ATTTGGTTCGATAGTTTAGACTTTAAACATTCGACAATTTGCTAGACCTATCCATTCTCGTAGAATCAGCTTGACCGCTGACATCTATTGTCATTTTATTCGCTAACATCCGGAAACATGTACGACATGCATTTCTGTCTATCGTGTCTCAACGAGTTCATACGGAAGAACGACGATCGATTCGTTTTTTTTCTTTTTTCAGAGACACGAATCATCCATGTACATACGACGTAATTATTTGCATCCATACGATTGGAAACCGCATAAATCAGATCTTTCTGGAGAGTTTAACTGCGAACAGTATTTTATTTTGTAAAACATTTGAAGAGTGCAGAGAAAGAATGTTGATTTAACTAATCAAACATACCATCCGTTTCTAGAATAAAATTCTGATTGTGACGAAATTTTTTGGAAAAAAAATGTTATTTACGCGGCTTCCAGTCGTACTGATTCATCTAAATTGAACACTTAAATCTTTCGCTTAAAATTACGAGCGAAGTTCCGAAAAGTGTATTTACCTTGAATTATTTTAAAGTCTAGCATAATAAATAATAAAATTATCTACAAGTACTACTTGTAAAATTTTATTTAATATTTAGGAATTGCAAATTAAATGATAGCATCATGGAGAGCAAAATATGGCAATGATAAATTTTGCTTTTCATTTTTCCGTGAGAGACCTCGTCGGCAAATTCGTAGGTGGGGTGAAAACCTCTTCGGAACTTTAGCCAAAATTACAATTACTTATCGTAAATACGCGCAACGTTGGACCGGTCTCAAGTGTAGACATTGATTTTTCGATAACGCGCGTGTAAAAATTCAGAAGCGATGCATCTTTTCTTTTACTTTAAACGTTAGAAACACTGAGATGTATAAAAATTTGACAGTCAAAGCTATTGTTGGTCTTCATATATTTTTTTCTTAATATCCCGAAAACGGGATGTTAATTCGATAATCATTTAAAAGACTCGATTTGTGCGGATTCGTCCCTTTCGGCGCGAATCAGGCTGATAAAATTTATAACTGTTGATGGTATCTTGAAAAACGTGCGATTACCTATTTGCGTACTTGTTTGAAAATTCCAGACGCGAGTACGGAGGTTTTGATTTCGTTACTCGAAGAGCGAAATAGGACGATGCCGACGTCGCGACATTCGCGAGTTATACGTGACTCGAACTGGATGGTATAGGGTGTCTTATTGGAAAAGACTTCATAAGTTTTTAGATTTTTACAATACTTATCCACTCTGTGAAAAAATCTATTACGTATCGGGATTACAATAATAGAAAAAGGAAATGATCTTTAGAAATGTATCTGTAACTTGTTGTGTTGCATCACATGATAAAAAAAAGATTAAAATTCTTATGAGAAAGATTTATTCTTTATTTATGAAAGAAAACATTAAAAAAGAATTATGATAGATAAAAAAAAGGATCGTGATAGATCAATTATTACTCAAATAGGCACATAGACAACTTTTATCGTAAGCCGCAACGTTTCATTAATTGAGTTTACAAAATAGATCAGTGAGCGCTGAGTGATTATTTATTACGATTGGCTTCTATGTTTAGCTCCAATGTAGAATTAAAGGTGAGAGCCAATTGTATGAACCCTTTGTAGACACATGTATTTTTATTTCGTAAGCACTTTAAGTCATTTTTGTTCAGCCTCAATTCTTTTACTGTTCTAGACTTTCAAAAATCTTGAAAAATTCAGGATTATTTTTGCTACATTTTTTTACTACATTGCCAAACAGTTATTTAACTCAAATATTAAAACCTTTATTCAATAAAAATTCAAATTTATGTAAACAAATTTGAGAGTGAAATTTCGCCTGGATAAAAAAAAATCCAGCGTGTCTACAAAGAGTATATTAAATTAATAATTACTGAGCGCTCACTGCACTGTTTTTATTTGCTGACGCAAACCTTTAGATCTGTTCGCTGTTACTTGAACTTTTTGCACTCAGCATCTTCGTTTTTCTGTCGTGCAAAAATTTGTGAAGATTTCAAGCAACGCGACAGACCTATCGTTACTTTTGAAGATGTAAACGGGACTGGTTTACAGAGACCGCACTGTACATGGAGAAAAAAATTGTTTATTTGTTTAAATTAATTTAGTTCGTCTTCCTTTTTTTTATGAAGAACATATTTAAGTCAAACGTATTATATTTGACTTAAATTATACGTACATTCTGCAACGAAAGAAATAAAGACGGACTAAATTAATTTAATCAAATAAACATTTTTTTTCTTAGTACAATGCTCACCACGGTCAGCATTAGCTTTGTATTGAGAACACCCCGTATACGGAAAGCTCCGGAAGAGGCACGAGCGAAACCCGGGGGACTTCTTGCCACAGCATGGCATTATCGCCGTTCAGACAATTCTGCAATCTGCATGAGGTTGCTGCATCAGTGGAAATCTCGTCGAGAGCGTACCTCATTCTGCTCGTTTCTCCCTTTCTTTCGTTCTCTCTATCTCTTCGTCTATTTGACCGAGACACATAAGAATGCAGACACCCACTGGCCCTGCATTCCCATTTTTCTCCCCTGTAATCCGCGCTCCTTTATCGACGAGACGCGACTTGGGGCACATCAAGATGTTTTCCACGATAAGGCAATTCGAGGAAACTTTTCTGACGGACAAGTATATGGTGAAAGGGAATAGGAAGATAGAAAGAGAACGTTAGTATCGTGCTCGAACATCTCTCAATGTGGTCAAAGAGATGCCAAGGAGTGGATGCAAACGGATGCGCGTCCCTCAGCTATCGGAAAAGTATTTACGGAAAATCCTAGGCTTGGTTCTCGCACGAGAGATTCTGATGTACCGTCATTCTTTCTCTTTCTGTCTGTTACAGATTTCGTTGGGATGTTAGCTATTAAAGAAAGGACAGGAAAGACACGTATTTTTGCAATGGACGCAAAGTGATCTTAACAACTTTACTGAAACTGCGGAAGTACTCTTTTCCTCTTGCCTTTTCCTCCTTTTACGCCAAATCTATTCGTAGAAACTTAAAACCGCGTATAAAAAGTAATATTACGTTTGAAAAGTAACAATTGTACATAAAACGCTGTTCGACACTCAAATTCTCTTCGAAGTGTCCTAGTATATATTTTTCCCGAAGATTTTTTCGCGCTGAACACGATGCCGTTGGCAGAATTTGTATTGCACGTCAAAATTTTGAGTAAATTGGGGTGAAATGGAGAAAAAATAACATTTTCGGCCATTTTCAACGTTTTTTATCGGCAAAATGAAACTCTACTACTACTACTGGCATCTAAAACTATAATCCAACAGTTTTCAAATGACTTTTAGTTTATTGTTAGATAATTACACTTATTTTTATCAAGATATAGCTGTTTGAATGTCAGACTTTCTGTATAATTACGCAGTTTAAAACAAAAAATCACTTTCTTCTTTCTTTGAAGTACCATAATACATACCTCGAAGATTTTTTTGTGCTGAATACGATTTTTTTATGCTCTCGTCAGAATTTGCATAACACATCAAGATTTTAAATAAATTGGACAGTAAATTGAGATGATTTTTTGCTTATTTTTTCTCAATTTAATAAAAATCCTGATATGCTACGCAAATTCTAATTACAACATTACATTCAGCACGAAAAAATCTTCGGAGTACTATAGAACTTTGAAAAGCAAAGAAGTGACTGAGTGTGAGTTTTGTCGAACACACAATAATTATTGAACACATAAAATATAATTATTTGCTCATATAACTATAAATGTCTAACAGCTATTTTAAGTAGAACATTTGGAACAGACTTTTTAATGAAAACGGATGTGAAATCATCTTGTTTAGCGAATTGGTTGCGAGAGGGAATACGTGTTGGCCATATAATTCAAGAAAATATCAGGGAAAAAATGAACTTCGTCGCAATACACGCGTTTTGTTCGCGGCAAACTTTTTACGCTCGTTACAAAGGTTTTTGATTAAAAACCTTGCGGAGTGAGATGTCTACGAGCGAGGGTCCACGAGGGAGAGAAATCTCCTAATGGGTAATTCATTCTCGACGAAGGAACAAACGACAGCAGACGTCGCTGAAAAATATTCGTGGGGCCGACGATCCGAGGAATTTATAAGGGAATAGAACCGAAGAAGCTTCTGTAGGAATCGCAGATGATGTCGATGTTTCTCTTGTTCTCTATCTCGCTGCGCTTCTCACGATCTGATCCCCTTAAAAGTCGTCGAATCACAAATCCCGTCGTTCACAAATTGATGTAGTATATGTTCTTTCTATGCGATTTACCTGAGACCGGAAACGTCGCGAATCTAAATTGCAATTCTGCCTTCTATTGTTGTTGATCGAGTATTCACGATGACATTAAGTTAATTACGACAGAAATTTTCGATGTCAATGATCGAGCATCCGTGCAGTGTAGTAATTTTAACCCTTTGGATGCGACTTCCTCGTTTCGATTAAAATTAGTTTCTGTATCGATTGACACGCACTGAGAGTACGTTAGACTGATGAAAAAAATAATTCTCTAATAAATAGAACTTTTTAATTGCTTCGTGTGAGATTAATTTTAAATTTAAAAAACTGCACACTGCTGAATACGTTTTATTAATATTAATCCTTAAACGCTTTTACGTTATTATCGGCTTTATTTTTCCAATGTTTTTCCAATGCTCTTTTCATTGCTTTCGATTTTTTCATTAATAAAGGTACAAACAAACATTTGTTTGCTACCGTTATGTCCCTAATGTCTGGCATTTTAATTTAATTGAAAAAAATTTTACAATATGTATAATTTTTATGAAAGTTACATGCAATCGATTTGAGTTGGGTATACCTATACTGATCAGTGTGTTGTTTCCGCGTAGTGTGGCGTTTAAAAGTTAATATGTGTAACGGTTTGTAACTACGTAGAGAATATTTGTTTCTATTTTATTTCGTAATAATTTAAAATAGTTAACAAAGAACAGTTTATGATAATGTAATAAAAAAATCATAATATAAATTTTTCGAAAGAGAGATACGTAATTAAAACTTGTTCCGTGCAAGAACTTGAAATTACGCATGAATATCGCGATGGGAAAATTATTATTTAATTCGGCGCGAGGGCATCTTAGATACGTAACTAACGTAACACGTGTACGTTGAGTGCAGTCAACGGATTTCCGTAACTCGGCGTAATGTTCTGAGATTACTCGCGCGGTAGCATCCAAAGTGTTAGTATAATCGCGTTAATTAGTCCGAGACACAGTCGGGCGCGATCTGGTGATCTGAGCGTCTCGAGATCGATCGATCGTCCGTCTGATTTCACTACTGCCAGGATCTGAAGAGGATGCTCGACGAGAACAGGCCGACGAGGATCACCCAGGCGACGAGATCGAGCGCGCCCCGTCTTGATCTGGCGCCGCCGTTCACGCAAGTCTCACGGATGTCGGTGATCTTGAGACCGCGGCGTCCCAGGAGATTATGAACGCCTCGTTTGTCGCTCTTCTGCAGAGTGTGCTCACGTGACAATAGGAGGGAATAGAGCTGATGATCGGGAGTCCGGGAGCAGAAAGTCAACACCATGTCCGAAGCAACGGCCTTCATTACGTACACACTGCCGGAGAACTGCTTGTAGTCTGGCCTCTCCGCCAAGGTACCTGAAAATTAAATCAGAAGCCGGGTTAAAAGAAGCAAGCGGAGGGACACGATACGCAAGATACGGGGATGGAAAGGGATGAAAAGGGTAAGGAAAAGAGGCCTCCCTATCCTCCAGGAATTTCCTGCCCTCCGCTTTTCGCGTCAGCTTCCGTCCGCTGCACGAAGTAGAATCTCTTGTACAAACGGAACTGTCGCGACTGTAGAAATAAATGTCTGTCGACGACAAGTCTATTTTTACGAAGTAGTTTTATCTTTGCGTGGAATGCTTTCGAGTGAAATAGGAAGAAGAATATGCGAGATAGAAAGCGGGGACACTTTGTACTCACGGATTTTTGTTTCACGTGAAAAGACATGATATGAAAGATAAAAACTGACGAAATTGAAACTCTCCGCGTCTGGAGATTATTTAAAGATTCTAATTATCAAGCTTATTTAACGAACGTAAACGTTCTTAGCGATGTTTAAAGCGAGAATTCTGAGATGTATTCGGTGAATTTATCTAGTAATTAGATTTAATTGACAAATTTGACACGTACGTATTAATGACAGGAATGATAAATGAGACTCTGGCCCGTAAAGCTTTTTGAAATAGGCATCTAAGATATTGTCAGGATAGGATAGCGCGACAATGAAGAAGGATCGAACAAGCAGCGAAAGCTTGACTTTCCAATTTCCTGCTTCTACTGATACGGCGAAACATTATACAGTTCACTTATATAGAATATATAGTATGATTCTATATATAATATAACTTATATATATTACATCTCTCCAAGTATATGTGCGTATACAGTGGATAAAAAAAGCATTTGGCCATCTCGTTTCTTTTTTTGGAAAAAATGTTATATAACAAGGAAAAGTGTTTCTATAATATATTTTATTCAGTATACTATAGTAAGTAAAACATAATTTAATAAAAATACATTATGATATTACTTTCTTGCTGGTATAAAATTTTTCCAAACAAGATAGGATGCGCAAATATTGTTTCACATACTGTACGCGTGTGTATTGCACTATGCCAACGATATTAAAAACTTATTACATTTTCAAGTTTTGTATTGATCGCTTAACCTTTAGGTGGGGCCACTGCACTTAAAGGTATAATGTTCTTTAAAAGTTAGAAAAGGAAAAGAAAAAGTATCATCCAGATGCCCAGAAGTTTTAGAGTTCATTATTTTTACATTCCTTTACTTCATAAGAGTATAATTAATGTAAATTTAACCGTAATATAAGTGTACTAGTAAAAAATATAACAATAAAATTAAAATTGTTCTTAGAGTGTTGTGAACACTTCCTATTAATTTGCGTATTTTTTATTTTTAAAGCCCGTTTTCACAATATAAGGTTACCTAAAGATTAAAGGTTACCTCGAAATTCATGAATGAATTTCACTGATGAATCTAACTTTTAATCTTTAGGTAACCTTATATTGTGAAAACGGGCCTTAAAAGTAAAAAATACGCAAGTTAATAGATGGAGTGTTTAAAACATTTTTCGAAAAATTTTAATTTTATTGTTATAGAAATCATCAATTTTTTTTACTAGTATGTTATAATTACATTCACATTATTTTCTTATAAGATAAAGGAATATGAAAATAATAAACTTGAAAACTTCTGAGCAATATTTTTCTTTTTCTTTAAAGAAAATTATGATACGATATCGTGTGACACACTTCATATGAAAATGTGTTACACAAAATTGATATATAGTATACCGTTAAGCTTTTGAACTCAATTAATTTCTGTATAGTATTTAAGAAGTGATTAAGTAGCTTGGGTAATGAGTACGAGCATTGCGAAGCAATAAAAAGGCTGATACGAGTAATACGAAATTACAAAGAAGCCAAAGTGTTTCCTTTAGAAACTTCCACAGCGAGTAACAAATAGTGCACAATACCATTGAATTTAGTATCATTTATCACGGACTTGGCACTTTTATCTGAACACGTTTAATGGACTAAGTCGAGGCTTTGACAAATGTAAGTTGCAACCACTTCGCCGGACCCCAAGACATAAACTCCAACCTGTGCAATGTTTAATCTGCAGAAATGTTTGATCTAAGTGAATTGACCAGAATAAAGTGCGATCAGTGTTTCACACTAGATGTTACCACGTGCTTTATATGGAAGACGTACCAAAAAAATTTCGAGTCCTATTTTTATTCATCATATATTATTCTTCATGTCTTACAGTTCACTTTCCATATATATTTAATTTGACGATTATTATCTGCGGATACAAGACTTGTTGACTAATCGAAATGATTTGATTACGATTCCACTTGCTGGCTTAGCAGTTCAAACGGATTCGATGATCATTCGTGACAACTCGAAATATACGGGTATGCCGTGGAAATACGCAGTATTACGGCTCATTACATAGTTGAGGACGTACTTAACGTTATGAAGGGAAATATACGGAGACGAGACGGCGAGCACGTGTACAATCTATATGCGCAATGTGTGTGTGTGCAGCGACCATAAGCGATGCACATAGGCATACCACATTTCGCAGGATCATCGCACGATGTTGGAAATATTTCACTAGAGATAGCACTTTAATACCGGCATTTAGAAGCATCCGTTACGTTTCCAACTAAACTTATTTACAAAACGGAGGGACCGATCTACATACATACCATCGGATCAACCGCTAATGTCTTTAATGTAACTTTAATAAATTTTTAATAATTTCGAAGTTGATCTTTTTTAAAGCAAAAATATCGAAAAAAGTTGTATCATGCGACTTTCCAATTTTCTTATACGCTTTACAATACAGGATGTAAAAAATTAAATGGAAGTTTTTAAGAGATGATTCTCACATTAATTTAGACGTTTTCAAAAATTTCGAAAACTGTTCGGATTCTTTTGATGAAACTTTGTATGTATAAAGATCATGTTTTAAAGACTTTTTTTAGAAGACATTCTTTTTTTAAATAAAATTTTTCCTTTAACTTTTGATACCCTGATCTGTATGAGAGCTGTTTTGAATATATAACCGTACATTTTCGTCTTAAATCGATGTGAGAAATCACTCTTTAAAATCTTTTAGAATATTTAAGGACCACCTTGTATATTTACGTAAAAAATAAAATGGTAATTTTAATTTAAAGACGTACAGACGTAGACTTTCTGAGACATGCAAAAATGTTAAAATTAAAATGTTAACGTATATATACGTTTTAAGTTAAAATTAACATTTTATTATTTACATTGATACTCGAGAAACGTAACAATTTGAAATTTCAACAAACGTACCAATTTGGAACAACTTCAATTACGAGCAACGAGTGTAAAGCATTTTAGACATGTGTATATCTATATAATATTTTACACTGGTCACTTGTAATTGAAGTTGACCAAATCGTTAAAACAGCGACGATGTTTCACGTACATATGTAACATATCGATCATTGCCGCAAAACATTGCCGTTCCCTGGCAATTCATTGAAATGACTGTCCATTGGAACGGTTACGATTGACATTTACTGCGACTGGATTGTTCCGGCTGTTAAGCAAAGCGACGTAAATAGCGCGCAGGCAATGAAATCGAAAGCGCGTTGCTCGTAATTACATCCATGATAGCAATTAGATGTTTATCTACTCGCGGCATTCTTCTCAATTGCGCCAATGTCACGAATTATATTAAACATAGTAATTGAAACGCGTACGACTAATTGCATATGTCGCGAATGTATCAGCAACGTCATCGCCATAATCGCTTCAGTCGATACATTGTCCTGATTACTATTCAAATTCGTTCCCATATAGCGCGACTATCATTACATTTTGCTAACTATCACTATGTATATTGCTGTTCTAAATTGAGCGATGAATTAAACGATGATTGCAATTTACTTCTCTCTATATGCGCGTAAACAATTATAAATTAACAGCTAAACAGTGTGCCTTACCGATAAATGAACAATCGCGTATATTAATAAGCAAATCAATTAACTGATTAGTCTAATGATTATATTCGTTCCTCTCTCTCTCTCTCTCTCTCTCTTCCTTATCACAGTATTATAACGTATAATGCAATTGTTTATATGTAGTTCTTAATTAGTTTTCAGCAAAATATGCTTTAAAAAGCATTTTTTAATATTCACAAGACGGGAAAGTCACTATAAATCTGCACTGAAACATTATCATATTTTAAGGCAAGAAATACAACAAAAAAAAAACTCATGAATTATAACAAATCTCAATCAAGCAAAAGCTATGATTTTTAAAAAAGATCCTCACCCTAATAAGGTTAAATTGATTTTCATTAAATTTTACTTTATTTAAATTGAATTGAATCTTTGATTATACATTTTTACTATATGTGTCATCTTCTCTCGCACAACTTTTAAGAAAGAGTAAAACTGTCCGTTTTTATCCGAGTTTGAAAACTAGGTCGGTCGTATAAGCATAAGAAGGTTTTTATCTTCTCTGGAAAGTTGTTTCGATCGCGTTTATGTATTATATCTCGAATAGGCAGCACTTACATCCATACATTAGTCTCCTCGTCGTCTCGTCAAGCGTCGCGTCCAGTAGCCGCGAAGTACGTCGCACGAGAATTATAAATTCCATCGAGAAAAACTGTCCCGGATCTTCGTTTTTAATGCTCAAAGTACGGCAGCTGCAGCTCTGATGAGATTCCCGGAGGCCGAAGTCGGGGGAAGTTAAATTTGGTGAAAGGAAGATGTCGGAGGAAAGTTTTCATTCCGCGTCGTCCGTAAAACGGCAAAAACATTCTCACGGGCAGCAAATTCTCGTGCAGTCCTAATGCTTCCGGCTCAAGGAACGGCTAATGCACGAAATTGATTTAACTTTCCGTAATAAAGTCGCTTATGTTGCACGAAAAAGTGACCGTTGATCGCGTGCATTTTTTTTTTTTACACTAAGGAAAATAACGCGAGGTGCAACATGTTTCGCAGTTTTTGTGTAATCAAACATTCGTATGTGCGTATGTGCGAATGTAATTTTACCCAGCAAATATTCAAAACACGT